AGCTGATTCCTGTTTCCTGAGTGTTACTTCTTGGGGCCTTCAGACAAAAGAACCGGTCAGAATTAAAAGGCTTGTGTATAAACTTCACAAATACATGCTAAGAAACAATAGATAATGAGTTGGATACAAATAAATAAATTAAAACTATAAGACAGATGATAGTAGACAATAGTATCTGGCATTATTCTATCAGAACTATTCAGAACTGCACCATTTTAAGAGCATTAAGCTATGTAAAGTACACACTTGCACAGGCTTCATCAGTAGTTTTTTAGCTCGCTGACAACACTTGGGTAAAGCTTTTTGCATTGTGGAAGTGTGATCTTTTAAAGCCCTCTAACGCCTTCCAGAAGGCAACAAAGTGGAGAGACTCAAATAAAGAGATCTGGAACCAGTAACAGTCTTCATAGATCTGACCACCCAGCCAAATGGAGTAAGGGCCTTGGTCAGAATGGTGACCAAGAACCCCAGGGTCACTATGAATGACATCCAGAGTTCATTTCTGGAGACAGGAGAACCTTACAGAAGGACAACCATCTCCACCAATCAGGCCTCTATAGTAGAGTGGCCAAACGGAAACCATTCCTCACTAAAAACATCTCTGGAGAGCCCTGAAAATGGCTGTGCACCAACACTCTCCATCCAACATGACTGACCTGGATTCTGGATTCTGCCAAGAAGAATGGAATAAAATTCCAAAAGAAAGGAACCAAGCTTGTAGCTTCTTTCTCAAGAAGACTTGAGGCTGTCACCGCTGCCAAAGGTGCTTTAACCAAGTGCTAAGTGGAGCATCTGGATACTTATGTAAATGGGATATTTCAGTCTTTTATTTTTAATAAATTTTCAAAACTCAACAAACCTGTTTTCATTTTATCATTGTGGAGTATTGCATGTAGATTGGTTAGGAAAAAAATTGAACCCATTTTAAGGTGAGTCTGAAATATAACAAAATGGGGAAAGCTTGAAAGGGGCTGAAAACTTTCCATACTGACTGTAGTTCACTTTAAGACACACTGTTTCAAAACATATTACAACAGTTCATTGGTAATACCTCATTGCATCATCACTAAGGTGCTGCAACAGTTGCCTACTTTGGTTCCTATCTCTAATTCTGGACAATACAGAAAGCTTTTCTTTATTAATTTGTACATTAGAATTTAACTGCTATAGAAAGACTGTAATGAGATGTTGCTCATGAGTGTTGTGATCATTTGTCAAGTGAGTAAACAATGTGATCGGACTGATTTACTCACACACAGACGAGATGAGGAGAAAGAGGGCAGCCGTAAACAGCAGCCCAGCATCCTTTCTGCAATAAGTTAGCAGACGTCCTAGTGTAGCCCCAGAACTGGTCTTCTTCTTCTCCGGGTTTCCCTCCTCCTCCGTCTTCTTGTTCCTCTCACACCCCACCTCCTGTTCCTCCTCACCAGCTGTCCCCAGCAGCTTCTCTGTGTCCTCAGAGCCCACTCGTCTTCCTCCACTGCTGTTGCTCACGGAGTTGGACTCCTTTTCCAGCAGCCTCCAGAGTAGCATTACACCCAGAGAGGAGGCACAAGTCCAGCATATCAGGCTGAGGAGCCAGGGCTGATGAGTCAGAGGCTCCAGCTCAGACAGTATCAGCAGCTTGGACAGGGCATATATGATGACAATCAGGCAGACGAGTAGAATGAGGTTGGTGAGCGAAGTGACCCTCAGTGGACCATCCTCCTTGTTCCATGAGACCCCTATGGAGGCTCCCAAGAGGAGGGAGCCTCGAAGCAGCACCATCCCCCAGAGGTCCAATGCTGACTTGAAGATGCTAAAGTCCAGGGCATCTGTTTTAAATATAATCACGTCTGATCCATGCGTGTATAGGACGGTGGTGATGACAACATCCAGTAAGATGAATGACACAGTGCAGCCAACAGCTACTTTGATGCCCATGCTGATTATCAAGACAGAATTATAGGAAGTTATGATAAGTTATGATAAGAACTACCAGTTTTAAATGATCTCAAGATAAGGGCCTACTTTTATTTTTAAGTAATTTTTTCCTGGTCTACTGTGGACGGTAGCTAGAGGAATAAATAAAAGCCAGATTTGCACAAAACTGTGGACGGCAAAGTAAGAATTTCATTGTACAGGGAAACATGTTTCCTAACTGTGCATATGACAAATAAACACTTTGACTTTGAAAACCAATCACTGACTTGCTCCGATGTAATCAGATGTAACTAATACATAGACAACTACACTCACCGGCTACTTTATTAGGTACACCTGTACAACTTTATGCAATTCAATGCAGCATTTCCCCCTTAACATCTGTGTTTATGAAGCTCAAAATGTTTCAGTTTGTGGTGAAACTGTCATAAATGTATAAATTCAATTATAAGTTGACTATTAAGGTCATAGTTAAAGGTGGTGTTGCACAAGAATTGATGGAGAGATGAAGCCTTGTTGAAGCTTTCCAAACAACTGAAGCAAAAAATGGTTTATGTGTCAACACTTCAAGTGCCTATGAAACCAGCTAGTGGTCAAAATAATGTACCACAGAAATGTGTAGAAACCGTCTGAAGCAACGCAACTCACCCTTATGTTTAAACAGCAGAGTGTTTCTTATATGAAACAAATCCCATGTCACTTGTAATATTATTACTTCTCTCTGTAATATGTAAATTAATGACTTAAAAAATTCACAAGTGTGTGAGATGGCACTGTGCAGGGTTTTCGCACCCCCTAAAAAAACACAATCTTAAATTGTACAGATAATTTTTATATCGAGGCTCAAAGGAAAAGCACATAGAGTAGCCCATACATACGATTTAACGTGGTAGAAAGTACATCGAAATGTTCCTATAGGCTACTGGGGATAACATGTTTTGGTGCTGATGCTGCAGTACAGTGATCGCCAACACCAGAAATCCACGAACCTTGCAATCTCTGTCCTCTCCCCCTATATCTTAAACGCATGCTTAAACATCTGCGAAGCACTTCCTGATCCCGTCATCTGCCAAGTTTCTCGACAGGTAGCGAAATTTGACAGGAAACCTGTATCGCAGGTGAAGCTTCAGACAGCTTCGAAGCCATCATTATTTACACGTGTGTCTATGTTTTTGTCCTCCGCAGCTACACATATGAGAGGGTCAGAATATTAGGATATGAAGCCCAGACAGGAAACTAACCAGTATGGATTATGCGCTGATCACAGGTGATCGAAATCTGACGTGTCTCGAACAATATGAGGTAGTGAGGTAAACATTTCTCCTCTGTAAATGACTGTCCGGCAAGGTCTGAGCATCAGTCTGACACATTCCCACTACTTTATTATCGATGTACATTAGCTATTAGCAGTCGGTGAACTGTGCTGGGTCAAGTTACAAACGCGTTTACAACTGTTAAAGCCCAACAAGGTGTCCACCCGAACATTAACGAATTTATTACAAACCTTCTACAGTAATAATGAAACACGCTCTATACTATACCTGCTAAGAGCCAACACCCACAGATTCCGGTTCTATATTGTACTGACACCAATCGTGACTTGTGAAAACCAGAGCCGCTAAGACAGAAGAGTTGCGGCATTGAGGAATCAAAAATGGCAGCAGGTCATGTGATTCAAATTGTTTCAAACAGTCGAATAAGATCCATTGTTTTCTGTAGGGAACAGCTGGATTTGTCAGCGACATTTTTATTGACTTGTACAGACTTGCAAACTGTGTTCCATTGTTGTAGATCAGCCAATTTAGATAGTTAGCTAGGTACCTAGTTAATTAGTGACCCAATATTTGAGACAGTCAAAAAGGTTGTGAAATTGGTTTTGCTAAAATGTCACAAGTATAATTATTGCTACTGATTTCAGCTTACTGTAGAACAGAACAGCCAAATCTATAGCGCTGCGTGACCCCCAAAGTAATCTTGCTTTAAACACTTTACTTTCGTCCCTACTCCTTGGTCAAAAGTAGCCTACAATTAGTGGTGGAAAATAACTAAAACTTTACTTTCGTCCCTACTCCTCAGTCAAAAGTAACCTACAATTAGTGGTGGAAAATAACTAAGTACAGTTTGGAGGTACAGTATCTGTGATTTTCATTTTGTGCTACTTCATACTTTGACTTCACTACATCTTAGAAGCAAATATTGTACTTTTTACTCCACTACATTTATTTGATAACTTTAGTTACTAGTTGCTTTTCAGAATCAGATTAATAAAAAAAATACAATTCTGACTTTACTGATCTCTGGAGGAAAATTCACAAGCTACCCAGCTGTATGTAAAGTACTTCAAATTATAGACATAGAAGCTAGTTAAAACTAACTCCACCTTTACCAGCTGCAACATTAAATATGATGTACGTATATGATAATGTATCTAATTACAATACAATAATATGATACATTATTAAATGTGCCATCCTGTGAGTACTTTGTTTTGATGGTAATACTTGTGTACTTTTACTTAAATAACATTTGAATGCAGGAATTTTACTTGCAACAATGTATTTTTACACTGTGGAATTGCTACTCTTACTTAAATAAACAACCTGAATGCTTCTTCCACCACTGCCTAGAATGGTTGTGGCTCAAAAGTACCGCCTGTTAAAAAGCACAGGAGGGAACCATGAGGTACACATACATTTCTGTTATTCGTGTTTGGGATTGTATTGGTCTTCCATGCTACACTTCTAATTGTTTGACCTAGTCTTGGCCAAGCCACACACACATTTAATATGACAACCATGTTAAATGTTTAGGCTAGACTATAGAAGTGACAAACAGCCCGAGTGCATTTTTAATATTCAAGTAAAATATTCTGTGTCCAAATTTCAAGTATCTAGCTAGCTAACATTATCTAGTATGAATGCTGTCTAGCAACAGGAATACATTGTGCATTACATTACCAGGTAATGCAGTATCCGATGTGTTACTCAACCTCAGTCTCAGCTGTTTCACTTGGTCCGTTGTCTTTCCCCCAAAGGATGTGACAATCTTACTTCCAACTTACAATCAAACTTCATTCTTAGCAGTTAACAGTTTTGCAATTTTGTCAGCTACTTCATTCCCCAGTATTCCAACATATACAGAAACCCACATAAAATCCACTTTTCAACTTTTTCTCTTAATAAAAAGTATCTATTAAAAATGACCAAATTCCACTATTTCAGCTCACATTTGGAAACATAAAATCATTATTTATCAATTATTTGTAGATGTTATTGCAGTTATTTAGCTTAATCAAGCTTATAGTGTTTAGTTTCTACATTCTGCAATAGTGACAGCAGGGCCAAGAAACTCTACTTAACAACACCAGGTACTCATCAAGCCACAAGCAATATCTTATTTCCCATCATGTAATGACTACACAAACAAGCCCATACAAATGAAACAATACCATCTTTTAGTATTTCAACTTTAAAATCGATTGTATGACAAAGTCAACACAAGTTAACACCGTCTTCATGGGAAACATGAGGGCAGGACCTCATTTCATGTGGGTCAGTGTTTATTGCCATTTCTCTGGCCAGCGGAGCCAGATAGCGAAACTTCAACCAGCAGTGTGTGCATCGCTCATCTGGATTTCCATCTTCCATCCAAGATTTGAGGCAGCTCTTGAGACATGCAGTCATGCTCCACTGATGCGTCTTTTGTGCAGACTTATCCTTGTCCTTCTCAGTGGACATCAGGCTCAGCCAAGTGATACCCTAACTCAGTCTTTAAGTCTTCAGAGCTGCTTTGCTCGGTGGTCAGCACAGTCTCAACAGGAAAAGACAAATATAAACTGTCTTTCAGTTTTTTTGGGGAAGGTGTATCTTCTTTGCCAAACAAAGGATCCTCTATTTTAAAGGTCACTGAAGCTACGTCATGTACCCTGCATTTGGCATTTTTCTTCTTCTCTTGTTTGTAGGCCGCATTCATATTAGCTATCACCTGGAAGTGGAATACACACAGACACAAAACATAAGGGTTGATTAAAGTAATTACATAAAAAAAACCTGAGCTGAATAATTTCTCTCCATATATACTGTACTAAATTTTACACATGGGCAGATATATAATTAACAAATGAAAGCACTTATGTGCATGTATTTCTGTTGGCTGTAAGGTAGCACGTGGGTAATACGAGTGTTAACTCTTAAATAACTGGAAGAGTTTCAGTGATAGAAACTTGTGGTTTATGAATCAAGTTTGCCATGTAATATACTTCTGTGTATACAAGGACAGTGCTCAACACAAATATCACCATGAAAACATCATGTCCAATATGTCTATTAATTATTATTACTACTGGTTCTAATATTATGGTGTACTGCAATTCTGTGGGTGGTGTGTCCAAATGGGGTTGCCATACCCCAGCAGAAATTGTTGCTTGACTAGAGAGGACTGAGAAGGATTTAGTATTTTGAAATCTTTGGCGCGACTGCTGTGGGTAGGCACAATTAACACAGAGAAACAGTGTTGAACACTGTACTGTCTCTGTATTTCAATACTTGTTAATGTATTAAAAGTGTAAAACTAGAATGTATTGAGTGCTGCACAGAATGTGTCACTGTAAATTCTGATGGTTTTTGTTATGAAGCTTATACATGTATGAATGATGATTGTCTCGCAGTATTGTGTTCAATTCCCATCAGAATTTTAGCTAGCACATAACTCAACCTGGAGGGGAGACAGAGAGAGCTAGCATATATTCTGTGCATTAGTTCATACATTCTGAGCAGATCCCACTCACTAGCTATCAATAACAGCCAGGATGTGCCCGAAAAGATAACATTAACGTCAATACTTCAATTTGTGCAGCACCTGTAATCATGGAATTCTAAAATACTTAGATATAAAGTGTCAGTAATTGCACGGAGTGGAAACAAATGTTTTTGGTGAAAATTGCCCTATTTTCAAGCGATAATCAACCAGCCATCACTAATGTTAGCTAGCACAGCTAAATTAATTTGCCATATTCATCCAGCGAAAAACAAAGTGCTCATGGGCACAACTAACGCCAACATCTTTATTACATTATACTGGTTAGAAAGCCCACGTGATATCAAAGTAAAGCATCATTTATGTTGCACTGCATATGTAATTTATGGAGACAGTATTAACTTTTAATTATTATTCATTAATTTGTACAGTATAGCTGTACTTGCTTATGCTAAATACAATTATTAGCATTTGAATGATATACAAGCTGTTTTATTAGTCAGCTTTCATTGACAGTGAGTATTATCATCAGCAAGAGGAAGGGTGGCAGTGTGAGGACTAGTCAGATGATAGAAGCATGCGGTACTACAAGCGATGAGTCACTATTTCTTGATATAATAATTGCTATTCAGATCAGAAATGGTTGGTAAGACATTCCCGATCATCATGGCAAGCAAAACCACTTGTTTACTGATAGTACTTCTTTCTCTCACTTTGGTGTATTCAGAGTACAAAGAGGGCTGACCAGGTGAGCAGGGAGGCGAGCGATAAAAGGAGCAAATACTGATGGTCAAGAGGAATGCCCCTGCAACAGTCTAATCCTAATATACATTGTTAAACATTACTGTTAATTTGGCTACAAATGAAAAGCAATACAAAAGTAATTTGGAGCCATATAGCTGAAGATGCAAGACAATATGCTCTGTAGATCAGGGGGGTATTCCAGAAAGCAGGTTCAGTAACAACACAGAGTTTGTGTGCAGTGAAATGAGGGGAACTCTGGGTTTTCAGTTACAGAAACAAAGATTACTTGAACTCTGAGTCAGTTACTGTGGTAACTTACTCTGTGAATCTAACCTGCTTACTGACAGGTTTTCTTCAACAAACCCAGGCTTATTCTCTGTCTCCTCTCTCCTGCAGAGCATGAAGACGCTGTCCGACACACTGCTTCATTTCCTCATTCACACAGTTTTATGCAATTTTTTTCCACCCTGACACCCTCTTTCAAAAGAAAAATGCCATAGTTCTCACTGATGTAGAGGTTCACTTTCTTCAAATCTCTGCTAAAAAAAAGTACTCACTGACATTGAATGTAGATTGAAAGACTTTGTTGTTTGTCCTGACCACACCGAGTATGAAGCACCAGCATCTATTTACATTTGTAGAAAATAAATTAATGTGATTTACCAGCTGCTTCACAGAGTTCTGTTGCTCCTGCATTACAGCCATACATGTAGAGGCCTTCTCCTTTGTGGAATACATATCCTGCTCTTGGTCATCATAATTCAGCAGGCTCAGAGCGGCCTAGAGGAAATGACAAAATTAGTAGGCAGAAATAAACCCGTTTTTTTTCCTCCACACAATAGAGTCTTACCTCATTTGGTAAATTAGCTTTTCTGTTGAACATGAGGGAATACGGGGTGAATTTGGTTGTAGGGTTGGTGGATGTTCTGAACAGAAACAGCACCGGGTCTAGAAAGTCATCCCATCCGGCCTGCTTCTCCGTTACCATCTGCACAATGGCTTCTTTCAGTAAAGGAGCTGTGCAGTCATGGAGCGGGTTGAGCTGAGGGTGATCCAGAGGAGAAACCTTCTGCACAATGTTCCACCTGTCACACAGCAGCTTGGTCACCTGGAAAACATCCGTATCTGCGCTGACAAAAGTGAACCACAACAGCGACACAGTCTCTGATCAGTATATTGATGCATTTATTTTAATTAACTTTGTGGCACATCTCACCTCATCACAGAAGTCAGTATTCTGTGTGCTAACTATCGTTTTAGGGGCACCAAACCTGATCGAAGAGAGAACACAGTGAGATCAAGTTCAGGTTAAAAACATTGTAGATATGAGGGTATCAAAAATAAAAAGTTGTGGTTTTATTAAAAATTTTGAAGCAGCCATGGTATGCAATAAATTCTGTCAGAAACACTAATGTGGTTTTTAGTGGCGCACAGGTTTTTAGTGAGCACAGAGTACAACCACTTTATCAACAGATTTTATGGCCAAACCCTTGTTTCAGCCTCAGTGTGATTATTCAAGGTGCTGTGTGCCGTTTCTACCTGTATATGCATTTGGAGATACACCTTGCAACAGAGAGAGCATCTGTCTTTTGTACTGGAAAAGCCTCTGGCCATTTACTAAAGTAATCAATGATGACTGTAACATTAGTGTTGCCTTTCTGGGTCTCTGGGAAAGGTCCTGGTGAAATGAAGAGAAAAACAGAGAATGTTTGTCCCGCTGTGAAAATAAATTATACAGCAGAAAAAAGAAAAAAAAATCAGCCTTTGATGGAATTAAGTGAGGCACAAACCTATGATATCAATCGCAACAATATCCCAAGGTGCGTCCACTTTTATAGGCCGGACTGTCCTTGCTAGGTTTTTATTCCTCTCTGTGTGCTGACACGTTTCACACAATTTAATCTGAAAAAGCAGAAATGTTATTTCAAAAGTTAGACATCATCATCATTATGTGTCAGTGATGTCACCAGAACACTGAAAATGTAAAGATGTCCTGTACCCAATCCACCACATCCTTGATGATCCCCAGCCAGTAGTACTTGCTCTGGATCCTGTGGACAGTCTTCTTTTGGCCCAGGTGATGCCCAATGTCATTGAAGTGGCAGTCCAGAAAAATCTGCCTCTTCTGCTCAGCCTCAATCACCACCTCCCTCTTCTCTTCTTTCTTGGGTCCCACATAATACAGCTTGCCATCTTGAATGAAGGAAGACATGCGAGGTAAAACCAGTGACAGTGTGAGCAAGGTTCTTAACTCTTCCTAAACAGAAGACTTCTCTAGACTGAAGCACATGCAGAAGAGCAATTGTTTTACATCACACCATACTGTGTCCAAAAATATGGGTATTTAATACTGTTTTGATCATCTTTAAAGATAGATATTTCACAGAATATAACTTTTGGCCTGCTAAAAAACTGCTGACGTCCATTCTTCAATTTGGCATAAGTTACTCTTTATTTACAAAACACCACTTACTTTTATAGAACATACAAGTAACTAGTTCGGCTCTTTGTCCAAATTCAGGTTTAAGACGTTGTGATGTGCTTGACACACAGTGCTAGCTTAAGTGAACCACTTACTTAGTCTGAAACAGCTTCATACAATATCTTGTGTTTTGTCCTACACAGTACGCAACAAGCAATGCTGATTTAAAATTGGCAGGCTTTTGGAAGCGATGTGTTCCTGTATTTACAGGACAGAGCTGTGTGCTCAGCGTTGTCTTCCTCTGGCAGTTAAAATTGTTTTATCCCTTACCGTCAATGATAAATTTCTGGGCGTATCTTTTGAGATTCTTCTTTCGTAAAGGGTTCATAGTCTGAGGAAAGCAGCCTTTAGCCACAAAAGTATAAATGTCGCCGAGTTTATTGGAGCTGGATTCAACCACCTCCTCTTCTGCCACTTGTAACGACTCCACGCTAAACATTTCAGCACAGAATGTACGAGTAAATACAACAAACAACTATACGCCTCAATATACACAGATATCCCGATCGCTAATCACCATATTTAGTAGCAGTGAAAGCTACTGCTAATTAAGACAGAGAACCCACTAAATCACAATAGGCTGAAGATACAAAGTGTGCTTTGGCGTCCTTCTTCCTCTTCTTCTTTAGTATTTAGGCAGTTGATATCCAAGTGTTTTGCACTTGCGCCCCCTGCTTGACAACAACTTGTACCTCCTGCCAGCTCTCCTGAGAAAATAAAGGACCGTTTCTGCGACCTGTCATGTACATGTACAGCTTGAACGTTTTATTTTGCATGTCCTCACCGGAAGCGTTAGTATGTTGTGTCCTCTAGTGGTCACAGATACTAACTACAACTGTACGCTCTTAATAATCAACAATCTAAAGAACAACAATAAAAAAAATATATGTATATATACTATACAGTATTATAATACAGCAATTATTACTGTAATACTTACTGTAACTGTTATGATATAGTCATTATTACTGTATTATAAAACTAACAATATAACGCTTATTGTCAAACATAATGAAAAACAAGTCAACAATACATTTGGTTATGTTTTTTTTTTTTCAGCTGCATACATCAGTGAGTTATACACTTCGACTACTGGTTGGCAATACACACAGGATTACATTTTCTACAGAGACCATCAGAGCATTTTTAGTTTTGTTTTCTTGTCAAAAAAAAAAGTCTGGACACAATGGCTCGAATATCTAACAGCCCAACTTTCCTCATTAGCCACATTGTCACTAAACTGATAACTAAGCTATATATAGATGAATGCTAGTCAATTTTCGTCTTTCTGAAATAATGTGGGCAACTTTGTGATCTGGAGCTTTTATTTTGAAGACTTCGGAAGTGTTACGTTTGTTTGTTGCTGCTAACCATAGGACTATAGCTGTGTGTAGCTTGTCAAGGTTGGTAATATGCGTTTCTGTGTGTTTTCTGAAAGCAGTTCCCTCTGACAAGTAATAATGACAAACGTAGAAGACGGAAAACCTCGGTTTTATACCTGTGAATGTTTCACTACTGATAATATTTTCCTGGAGGACTACAAGCTCCATGTTAGCTTTTTATCCGAGCAGCAGTTTAGACTGGACTATCAGTCAGTGAGTAGTACTGCGTTTTTAAATCAAGAATAGTATTTGGAATAATGCAACGCTAAACCTTATCAACTTTATTGACTGAGTATCTATTGTATGTTAATCATTGCTTCACAGCTGCTGAGGAGCCTAGGCTGCGTCACGGAACAGCAGTTTGAGGATGTTCTCTCTAAGGTAACACAAGGAAGTAACGTTATGTTTGTGCTTGACCAACAAAACCAATAATTCACCGTTGACTGTATAAACGATGGACAGGCTGAAAGCATCCAGAAGTGAAGCCACCGCGAATCGATCGCCCCCTGGTGGCTGCTTGCAGTGTGGGCCATAAACCCCGCCCCCTCCATGTTAGCAGATGAGACATGAGCCAAACTCAGAGTACAAATCATATTTTTCACAGAGGTAATTTCTAGCATCTTTTAGTACATATGGTAATTTTTCTTGTAAGCTTGTTTTAAATTATTAGATTATATAAAAAGGGTTGTATTTTCATTTTATTTGAATATATGTAATTATAACTATTATTAAATATAGTAAGATTTGTATATAAAGTAGAGTTGCACAATTAATCATATTGTGAGTGTGATTTTGATCCCTGTGTGATCTCAGGCCATGTTTGCATTAACACAGATGCTTTACATCAAACCAAGTGCTCCCTGTCCCTTATACAGTATGTGATATACAGGTATTAAAAGGCACAAAAGCTCAAACAGCTCAGTTGTGATACCGGTTACATCAAGTCACACATTTGAAACATATACTGAAGAATTGGCGATAGGCTGATATTGCCTAGAGACCAGTATTAACTTTAGTGCAGATTTAGGTTTAGTGCCTCCACTGTCGACCAGAGAATTGGCAGTTGAGTTTTACAAATGCCCAGTTCAGTATTTATCTTTGTTACAAAGAAAATCTAAGGCAGAGGTTATGTACATTTCCCCAGAGGCCCAAGTTTCTCTAAGCAGACATAGTGGGGGCCAGACCATCAAATAAACTAAATATTTAGGCGTAATGTTAGTTTTATTGCCCTGTATCAGGATAACCTGACACCTTAAGGACTATATGTTGAAATGTTAAATGAAAGCATGAAAAAAAAAATGTTAAATGAGAATAGGTTTGTCCCCATTTTTGCATGAAGACACTGCAAGCAGCACTCCATTCATAAAAGCCAGGGTGCAAATTATATTGTGCATTTTGGGGCTGTCTCCTTTCAACCTAGGGGCTGCTTGATGAGGGCATATGCACTCCAGCCAACACCAAATGCACCAAACCTACATAGAATGTTTGCACATTGTTGCAAAATAATAATAATAATGATACAGGAAAGTATCTCCAGAGCCATGGTAAATAACAATTACCCTTGTAATTGTAAATGTAAAAATACGTTTGTAGGATTGTCAGGAGGGTAGAGTTGAAGTCAGAACTTTACATACTCCTTAGCCAAATCTATTTAAACTCAGTTTTTCACAACTCTTGACATTTAACCCAACAAACATTCACTGTCTTAGATCAGTTAGGATCACTACTTTATTTTAAGAATGTGAAATGTCAGAATAACAGTAGAGAAAAAGATTTATTTCAGTTTTTATTTCTTCCATCACCTTTCCAGTGGGTCAGAAGTTTACATACTCTCAGTTAGTATTTGGTAGCATTGCCTTTAAATTGTTTAACTTGGGTCAAACATTTCGGGACACCTTCCAGAAGCTTCTTCCAGTAAGCTGCTGGAATTTTAGCCCATTCCAGACAGAACTGGTGGAACTGAGTCAGGTCTGTAGGCCTCCTTGTTCACACATGGTTTTTCAGTTCTGCCCACAAATGTTCTATTGGATTGAGGTGTGCAGTTAGACAGAGGACTCATATGTACACAGCCAAACACCTGTCATCCATGAGGGAGCTCAGTGTTCTCAGCTGCAGGCAGGAATGAGTAAAACTCTCACACCTGCCGCTAATTCCTGTGCAGTTCGCCCAACATCCCTATTAGACTGTAACTGTATGACTGCTCTGTTAAGATTTCACAGGAAGTGGACAGGCGTCGACGTCTCAGTGTGACATCTGCTGAGAGAGCTGCTGCTATAAAAGACATTTACCAGCCCCTCCATCCTCATGTCTACCATCTGCAGGTACTGCATCAGCCCCTGCTAATAACATCATTAGTAAAGTCATGAACTCCTTGCTGAGAGACACCTGCACTCCACCTCTCCTCAGGAGTCCTACCTGGCACCAAAGTTCAAGCAGATTGTCAAGTACTGCCAAAGCAGTGACACCAGTGAAGAAGGTCTCCTGGGCCTTTTGGAGGAAGAGGCAGGTGAGCTGGAGAGTGTTTTCATTTCCTCCTAGTAGCCAAGCGAGAAGTGGTAACACACTGAATACAAAGGGAGGAAATAACATTAGCATAGGAGTCAGTGCTTATTTCTGAACAGTGCAACAAGAGTTCCTCTTTAACAGTATTGTAACATTATTCTAATTACTTCACTATGTTTTTTCAATGTAGGGCAGAAGTGGAAAGGTTAAAAAAGTTGCAAAACCACAATTTCTCTTCTTTTGATTCCCTTATCACAGTATAACTGTGGTGTACTGTATTTTGGCTGATGAAATGTTTGTGATGTGAATATCTAAGGTTTGTCTTGAATACAAAACTGTGTAGTTGATACAAAACAGAAAACATAAACAGATGTAGTGACTTCTGTATAAACTCTACAGTTTTGTTGCCTGTGGTTTCTGTGTAAGCTTGAGAAATTGGCCACTGGAGACTCTGGGCTCTGTTTTCCTGCTAAAGCCAGCAGAGCCTTACATTTGAGAAATGTAGTACTGGCACTATCAGAGGCCACCTGTCATTATCATCACTAAAGTGTTTGGTTATGTTGATTACACAGTGATATGACAGCTCCCATCTCGCTGTTGCAGCTCCGAGGGTGTATCGCTTCCCCGTGTTTGAAAAAAGCTTCTGCGAGGAGCTGGTGGAGGAGCTGGAGCACTTTGAGCAGGCTCCCACCCCTAAAGGAAGACCCAACACCATGAACCGCTATGGGGTAATGGCTTCTGGCTGAAAGTGCTTACAACACCATTTAATCATTGCTCAGTCATTCGTGTTTCATCTATACTGTGCCATGACATTTGGACCCTTGACCTAACATGGACATGAAATATGAAAGGTGTTTTCAGTGCAGGGACTGTAATGGATTTTCTGGGAAAGTTGAGCAATGTCAAAGGCCATTTCACAAAAATATGTATATATTGTATGTGTGTCTTTAAATATCCATTGCGTTATATAATTTTTTTTTAAATATAGGACCCTGCAGCAGAAATGATAAATGAGTCACATAAATTATTATATTTGTAGTTGAAGGTCAGGGAATGACACATGGGGCTTATTTTATTCTTTTATTCATAATATTCCTTTAATTGCCTCTTCCCCAGATCCTCCTGAATGAACTGGGTTTTGATGAGGGCTTCATTACACCTCTTCGTGAGCAGTACTTGGGTCCGCTCACCACCCTGCTGTATCCGGACTGTGGGGGGAGCTGTCTGGACAGCCACAAGGCCTTTGTGGTCAAATATGACATGAATGAAGACGTGGACCTGAGCTACCATTACGACAATGCGGAGGTCACGCTTAATGTTTCCCTGGGCAAGGACTTCACTGAGGGCAACCTTTATTTTGGTGACATGAGACAGGTGACCCTGATACTATACTACAATACTCTCACTACTGCTCCTGCTATTACTACTGTTAACCCACGCCTATAACCACCACTTCTACTAGTTGTAGTGTTTTACTGCTGTATTTTTTATACATTATTAATGAACAAATACATTTTCAGCAGCTAATTAAATGGTGTATTATTGTGCCATTAAACATTATATGGACTTGCAAGGAGAGAATAAACTAGTTTATAAACTATTATGTAACAGTAATAGCAAACTATTAATTACATAAGCAGTACATAAAATAAATAAAAGTTGGAATTCTAGGAGAAATCACCAAACACCTCCTCATAATACAGTAGAACAAATGCACATTAGGGCTCAGGATATTAATATGGTATTTATCAAAATACTGGTATTTACTGTATCTCCACATATTCAAAATAACATATAAATGATAAAACATAAATAAAATCTAAAACTGAAGCTTTACATGTAAGATAATCCTTTAAACATGTAAAACTAAATCCTAACTAATGTTGGTACCTACAATACAGTGTGATAGCTCAGACCTGACATTAATACATACAGACAGGGCTGTCAAAGGCTTCCCAGCCAGTGACCGAGCATAGACAGTGTCAGGCCAACAACACCATTCAATAGGCAGGATGACAGTCCAAAGGCCTTTAACCAGTACACTGTATTTTTTTTTATCCTTTAATTTCACAGTTAATTATGATGTGAATTGTCATATTTAGTATGAAGTCTAACGTAAAATGATGCAGGCCTGATGTGAATAGTCTAAGCACCATCTCAAAATGTAAGACCTTTCATAAATGGAAAGAAAACTTTGTAAGAGATTGTATGGCCTTAAACTTTGGACAAGGACTATTTAAGCCTTTGTAAGCAGATACACTGTGTAATTTAAACTTTGTCAAGTACAGTATATTATATACTGTGCATGTTTACCATTGTACCATGTCATAGAAATACTTTTGCATTTCAATGGAGAGTATTTATCTCTTAAGGAAACCTCTATATTTATAAAGATGGCTATATTCATTGAACATCTCATCACCAACTTTAGCCCCCCTAATCTTTTACATATGTTTTAACAGTTGTAGTGGTGAAAAGATTTTAATGTCACAAAATGCAAAGTCATGACCAGTGGGTTCATTGTCCCTGTACAGGTTCCTTTAAGCGAGACAGAGTGTTCAGAGGTTGAACACAAGGTGACTGAGGGTCTCCTCCACCGTGGCCAGCACATGCACGGGGCCCTGCCCATCTCCTCTGGCCAGCGCTGGAACCTCATCGTCTGGATGAGAGCCTCAAAGGAGCGCAACAAATTGTGCCCCATGTGTAACAGGAAGCCGACGCTGGCGGAAGGAGAGGGCTTCGCTGACGGCTTCACTAAACACTCTGAAGCATCACTGAATGCTTCCTGTGTGCTGACGTGATGTATCCAGCTGCTATCAACCTTTTCTTTAAAAGACTGTGTAGGGTTTTGATACCCCCAGGTCGCTGTATTGAAAAAGACACTGGCAGACAGTAGTGTATGCTGCTACCTCCACCGAGGCTGTAGGAATAAATGGCTGTGGTTCATCCAGTCTAAACTTTGTGTCTGGTGACAGGGTGATTTCGACTGATATGCTGTGGTTTGACTGTGGCCGAGTTAATCGAGACAGCATTAAAGAAAACCGGTAAATGGAATGAGGTATTTTGACTGTATTCCAAAATAATGATTCATATGTATTATTTGCAAGTTGAATAATTCTGTTAATTGTGTACATTTGTGACTTTGTTGTCTCAAATATTAGAAATATTAATATTAAAAACCCATACTGGTCAAGCCCATGTATTAAAAACCCTGTTTTTAAAAAAAATTATCATTTGTCAGTCAGACATTTTGCTTCCCAAAACCTAAAGTTGGGGGATCTGCGAGAAATTCTGAAACTCTGAAACTCCAAAGGATTTATGGTTAAATGTCTGGCAAAACTAGAAAAGACTGCACTTTCAATGAAACTGCTGTGGCTGCAGGTGAGAGAGCACAGGGCTAACGTCAGGTGTGACTGATTTAACACAGAGACTCAGCACATGGAGGAAAAAGAAACAACCAAAGCAATGTTTGTTGCATATGCAGGGTTGTTGTACATGAACAATAAATTGACTGAGAAAAATGTGCTAGACATTCAACAAACATAATACAAAGCACACTGGATTTTTTTTTTCATCTATTAAAATTCCACATATATCAGTCTACAAAAACAATCAGTTGCTTTGAGACACAGAGTAAATATACAGGTCCAATCATCACCTCACAGTCCCAGATAACACATATCGGTGTAGAATTACAGTCTGCTGAGTTGTATGTATGAAGGGAAGGTCAGTGCACATTCTGTGATTTATCACATAACACAGGGAGACTTATACAGCTCCTAACATTACAGTTAGTTGAAGGCAGAAACATGAAATGTTCAGGTAAGATGCACAGTATAACTGCATATCATACCCTAAAAGATGATCCAGATCCAATCCAGATCAGGGATTTTAGGACACATTTTGTGTTCTTCTGGATCTCATTTTTCACAAAGGACCCACTTGTGTGAGTGAATGCTGTGCGTTGGTGGAGGTACATGAGCTCTCTGAGTGCTCTTGTTGTCTTTGTTTTAAGATACAGTATCTGTGTCGTATATTTCTCCCACCACCAAATTAAGATGGAGACATTTTCAACAATGATGTATCTTTTCACTAACAATGCATGCATAGACATCACTGGAAGTACCTTCTACCAAAGGAATAGTGAAAAAACTGCTGTTATGCTGCTACACTCATGTGGTATAGTCTTTGTACTGCAACATTTATCTAAAGCATCCTCAATAAAGGTGCTGTTCTGAAGCTATCCATATGTATTACACTCACTTTTTTGTTTGCTGCCACACAGCTCACACAAATACCATGCTGTAGCATTTCACAGGAAGCCCCACCCTCCACCGATTCACACAATACCCTATTACACATGAGGTGGTTGACGTGGTTTGGTTGAGATGGTTTAGGTAGGACTAAACAAATGTTTTCCTTTTGTAATTTTTGTGAACTGGGCCTTTAATTTGTACATACTTACTATGTATGACTAAATGTTCATATGCAAACAAGATCACAGTTAGTATCTCTTTATGTCTGTGTAACAGAAGGCTTGTATGTGTGTGTCAACAAGGACTGTGTGGTAGCACGCTGGCAGTACACTCCCCACTGAGACTGTGCAACATCAGGATATATGAGATCTTTGTAGGGAATGTGTAGTTTTAGGACACAGTACCTGCGATCCAAGTCTGACTCTGAGCTGGGTGTGTGGTTGGAGTAGGCTTGGTACTGGTCCTGTATGGAAACACAAGCACAGGTTAGCAGATACATCAGAAACTCATGTCATGATCCATGATTCCTGCAGGGGGCAGCAGAAGCTCGGATTTCTCGCCTCTTCCTCAATGTCATCTGGTTTAGGCCTCCTCTCCTTCTCCTTCTCCTTCATCTTGTCATCGTCCTTCTTCTTCTTTTCTTTCTCAGGCAGGAGGTCATCCAGCCAGGCCAGGTCATGCTGGGACAAGACCATGTCCAGCATCTTTCAAACCACCATAAGACTCAGGATCTGAGGGTGTGGCACAGAGGGACACTGACACACGGGCCTCGCTTCAGCTCCCGGCACAGAGGGACGCTGACACACGGGCCTCGCTTCAGCTCCCATTAACATTCACCTCATATCTGAGTTATGGTCTCAATGTGATTTAGTGTAGATGACATTAACACAAATCACTAGGATACACTGTGAAATAAGATCACTTCCTCTCTTAATACACACACACTTAAAAACTGGCACTGAACCTCTCATGTTTCTTTACATTCACTAACATCCTCAGAATATTTTTCTAATATGGACATTTGATTTCCTGGGTAGTTCTCCACAAGACACGCCATTTATGTTTTCAGAGGGTCTATATGTGGAGTGGAGCTGCACCGACTTCTCTGGCCACCTCTGGACCATCTTCAAAGCATTTTTGATTTGATGTGTTCTGCCATCAGATTCTGTCAGCTATCTGATCATCCAGTATACACACTGAAACCTTGTCATTCAAAAACCAAAACCTCACTTCCTCTGACACAGGATCCCTTGAAAGCTGTCTTCCAAATGCAGGCCTCTTTTATTATGCACCATGACAGGGAAGATGATAGCCAGGTAAGTGGACTTGAGGATCCAGAGCACAGCCAGACAGCTGATTTGGATCAACGTGAACAGGTGTACTCTCCTCAGAGGAACATGACGGAGGTAAGAATAGTCCGGCTGGTGCTTGGATGGCATCATGTACAATTTAATCCTATCCCAGAACTGCAGAGGACAATGAGACAAGGAGGCAGACAAAAGAGAAGAACATGACAAGAATATGATTGGTACCGCTTAATTACCTGCAGACCTATGATTTGAATGATAAATGATTTAGGGGAGATCTGCATGTGTCATGGCTTTACTTTGACTGTGCAATGAGCTGGAGGAAAGTAAATGAGGAGCACCTGCTCTGGCACAACCATACTAGGCCCTGAGTTTGTAAACTTGCCTGCATGCATCTGTAAAACTGCTACTCTACTATAATGAGACACGTGGCCATCAGAAACAGACTCTGACACAAACAGTGCAGGTGCAGCTTAGACTGTATATTCAGCCCATAATTTCATATCTCCGGTTTCTCCATGCCACATAATTTGCACTTTTACAGAATATGAATACTTATTTAAAAAGTCCTCCTGAGGTTTTCTTTGATTTCATGTGATACTGTTGTCTCTGAAGCCAATGGACACAAAGGATGATATCTGTTTGCTTGCTTATTTGTTTTCTTGGCAGCTCTAAATAAGCCGCTTCCCGGCTGCTGTCAGAAATGCATTAAGTAAGATGTGCAGCCGCAGTAACTCTATTTATTATGACAACAGCTGGCACACAGCGCACCTGGATTCCACTGAGGGATGCTACACCCATGTAGAGAAAGACACCGTACAGCACCGGCATGGGGATGAACTACAAGCAACAGGGAGGACAAACAATATATTACACTCACAGATTAGACAGTTTTTTTAAACAGCATTAATGTTTCAAGGATTACCAACACTAGACATAGCCACTGGTGTATGGAATGGGGCCCCAGTGTGTGGAATATTAAGTAAAAAATAAGTATGAAATTAATAATCAAATGAATTAATTGTGTAACATTATATAAGTGATTAAAACAACTCATTATGAAATATTATTTAATAGTTTTTAATTTTTAAAACCAGTTTATCTTCATGATTTATTTTAAACAAATATTCCAAAATATTTCTTAAGTGTGTTTAAACTTTTACTGAATAATGACTTTTTTGCTAACAGGTATTTCATGTTACACAGTCATCACATGACAATTTAACTAATCGGCTGGCAGTGAAGCAGGAGCATGTGCAGCTTTGTTAAACGTAATAAAAGAAGATGTTAGCTACTGTAATTGTGTATTGTGCTTATTTGCAGCCTCTAGCTGACTGATTCAGAATGACTGTTATTGTTGTTGTCCTTTCTAACAGGAGCTAATTGGCTGAATTTGGTAGTAATTGTTGAGCTTGCTTCAGAGCGGCACAGCGTAAAGTGACTGCCTGAAAAGTGGGAGGTCGGCGATAACTTTGGCTGCCATGTAACGGGACATTCTGGAATAAAAAAGTGGCATGAAAAAAAGTTTCAAAAATGGACTTCTGAAAAAGCCAGACAAAGAATGATTCCAAAACCCAAATGAATCTGACATTTTGGACCTGTGTTAAAGGGCACAGGGTAAGTCGGGTGGCAGGCAAGGGCAGGGGTCTAGGTGTGTTGACCCCCAGTGTCATGGACTGGTGCTAGAATGAATTCTATTATTATAAAAATAAGAAAGATGAAATTACTTTGCATTACTTTTCTATTTCAGAATGTGTTTGACTATTAAGGTATTTTACACTATTTGTTTATATGATTATTTATTTCATAATGTCTCATTTTTTAACTTTACACTTTGGGGGTTCCATAGTGATGTAGTAGCAATCAACTTTGACCAGTAGAAAGTGAAAAGAAAACTGACTGGGACTTCATTCAGTAAACCATTTGTTCTGGGTTTTAGTGCGTAGCCTGGATTTACAGATGGTTCTGCCCTGCATTAAAACCGTAATTACAAGCAATAGGAAACATCGCACAGATTAAAGCTGTGTATTGTTCACAAGAGACAAAAAAACACAATAAACACAAGTGATTCGTCCACCATGCACTTCATACCTTCAAGTCCTGGAGTGAGGAAGATGGAAACTCCAGTGAGAACAAACACCAAAATGCCTGTCACTCTTTGTTCTCTGTGAATTGTAAATTGAAGATATTCACTTTTTATATTTGTCTCATTCTCGCATATTGCCAGTAGCATGTGGCCTGAAGGGAGCTTTTCCCCAAGACACGGTTTTCTTTTTATCTCTGTGTTCTACCAACCTGACCCCAAGGAACTGAGGCTGTTCTCCAGGAGCGTTTGTCGCACTCTCCATCTTCAGAGAGTCATTGTGGGCGATGGAAATGACGGTGGCAGCAACATACCAGGGCAGGCCCATGAAGGAGCAGGTGACCATCAGAATGCCAACCCAGAAAAGATCTAGGTGGTATCCACAGCCTTTCTGCCAGGGAAAACATAGCTCCTTTTAATAAACACTATAAGACCTCAG